GCCAGGCAAGCCCTTATGCCGCTGAGCTACATCCCGGGCCCAGCACCCAGATTCCTTTGCTCATGCAATCTTCTTGCAAACCTAATGAGCGGTAGAACACACTTAGAAATGCCCTTCCAGATATGCTTGATTCGCATAGCTTCGGCTCAACTCCAAGAATTTAACATGTGATGTCGTGTTGTGTGAAGCTGCCAAAGGCTTCATACACTTACCTTGCCGGCTCCCACAGGGCCTATGACAGCTAGCAGTTCTCCAGGTCTGGCAGTGAAGGAAAGGCCTCGGAGGGTCGGGGTTTCCAACGTCTACAAATTAAAGGTTACAAAAATGTGTCCACTTTACTAAAGTAACACAAGTCACTTCCAAAAGTACAGAAATGAAAACAATAGTGACTGATACCTGAAAACAGCCTGCATCTCTCCTTTTTCTGTTTTAAGATACTGTGTCCTGCTATCCTTTTCATTCAATTATATTTTCTTGGGGGATCTAAAGCAGTTCTAACTTTAGTATTTAAGGAAAGCCCACTTCCTTGTACCAGATTTTCACGGTTCAAGATACTCAGAGACGCTAAGCAGAAGAAAGCATAAGGCAGTCTTTTTCACAGAAAAGCTTCCTGGCTCACCCTGACTCAGTATTACAATATTCTTAACAGAATATCCAGTTTGCAAAGTAAATCATTTATAAATTTTCACTGCGAACCTCGGTCTTCACCTATTTCATTAATATCCACAAGATGGCAGCATAACTCCAGGGCATGCCCAGCCCCTTGCTAATGAACAATTTGAAATCGTCATTAATCATTCCATTTTCAATTGACAAAGAATGAATCTCATTAAAGCTCAGCAAGTGGGCAGGCACTTTATATTATGAAGTCACTCTTAGCAAACAAACTACAAATGATGGTCAATGCTGTAATAAGAGCTCTAATTTAATAATAAACATGAGAAATAAAAAAATTAAGTACACTATCAGATTGCAGATCAAAGTAACAAAGTCTATTTAACGTTTGTGATGTGCATTTGCTGTCCTGGTTAAACATGGTCAGTTCAAGACCTCTACAAATGCCAGGGAGGCACACACTACAACACACAGCCCAACACAAGGGGGCTAGGGACAAAGAACTCTTAATACTACCATAAAGCACATTCCTGAAAATCTCTAAATTATAAGATAAAAAGATTTAAGACTATGTGTGTATGTGTGTGTATAAATACATAATATATAGGTTCTATATAACATATTATATGTCATATGTAGGTTGTATATAACATCCTATATGTCACATGTATGACATATGGGACTAGGGGTTAGGGTTAGGGTTAATCTGTTTCATTAACAGCCACAAGATATTAAATAGGGTTTTATATATAAATATAACCATATTGAAATATATATATAACTATTGAAATATACATTTATATACAACCTTATTGAAATATATATTTATATATAACCCTGATGAAATATAATTTATATTTAACTCTGTTAAAACATATGTTTATATGTAACCCCATTGAAATATACATTTTTATATAACCCTATTGAAATAGTATAATATATTTAAGATATTTTCCTTAATCAGAAAATCTTAAATCTAAAACTTTTTGACATTGCCGGACGTGGTGGCACATTCCTGTAATCCCAGCACTCAGGAGGCTGAGGCAGGAGGATTGTTGCAAGCTGGAGGCCAGCCTGGGCTAAAAAGTGAGTTCAAGGCCAGCCTGAACTGCATAGTGAGACGCTGACTCAAAAAGACAAAAAAATCAAAATAAAACTTTTTGATGTGGCAACTACACAATTCCACATCTACCTTCACTGTATAAAATTCCTTCAGGTTATATGTGCCAGGTATATATGAAATGCAAATAACTTTTATATTTAGGCCTGGGTTCCACCCTCAAAATGTCACAATATACACACGCAAGTATTTCAGAATCTGAAAATATTCAAAATAGGAAGCACTTCTGGTCCCAAGCATTTCACATAAAGGATATAGAACCTGTACTAAATTTCAAAGAAATTCTCAATAATTGCTCATGTCACAAAAATGTTGTTTTATAGTTTTTCAGCTCAATGTATTCTTTAAGAGCCCAAATCAAATTTTCTTCTTCTAGTGAGGCGTGGTGGCACACGCCTGTAATCCCAGCACTCGGGAGGCTCAGGCAGGAGGAACGTTGCAAGTTCGAGGCCAGCCTTGAGCTCAAAGTGAGCTCAAGGCCAGCCTGAACTACACAGCGAGACCCTGTCTCAAAAAAAAAAAAAAGAAATTTACTTCTTCTACAAAGAATTTCTAACTATCACACAATCAACTGAGAAGTTATAAGTGTTAGGGGAAGAGGGAAGGAATTTAGCAGAGCATGATAAACTAAAATGAGGTTTTCTTTTCCCATTCAATCGTAAGTCCTTCAAATTACCTATCTTTTAAACAAAATTCAGGCAGCATAAGCAAAAGGAGTGTTTGTGCCGGTCAATCTTGACGATCGCCCTGACTGGATTCAGGCTCCTGAAGAGGTGACGGGATGGTGGGGCACTAACTTTATCAACGGTTAATCTACTGATGAGGTTATAGCTGAGTGGGTTCCTCAGAGGCAGGGCCTACTCGGGAAAGTGGGTCATAGGGTGTGAGCCTGGGGACCGTGTCTGGTCCCTGGCCCTTCTCTCTCTGGCTCTTCCTCTGCCTTTTGCTTTTCCAGATGCCATGAGTGGAGCAGCTTTCTTCTGCTACGGTCTTCTATCATGAAGCTGCGGCCATGGAGCCAATGACCACGTCCTGGAACCTCAGGAACTGTGAGTCAGGGCGAATCTCTCCTCCTCTAAACTGGGGCCATCAGGTGTTCTGTCCTGGCACTGGCAAAGCTGACCAACAGAGTGGTTTTAAACTGACAGTACCGAACCTCAATCGTAGTAATCACATACCCCAAATCCACATTTCCGGTAGAAAAGAACTGAGGATAACTACTGACAGTGAAGTTTACAAAGCTGCTATTTGGAGATTACTCTGAAGGGGCTCTCTTCCCATAGTTACAAGCCCGTCTGTACGTCCCACAGCGGATCTGAGAAGCTTTCCAGTTGTTACCCACAGTTGAGGACCTAACAAGTCTTCTGAACCCCAAAACATTTGTAAGGCACCCTCGTAAAAGGCTGGAATTCTGCACAACACACTTTGGGATGTGTTCTTCCATATCAGAGGAAAAAAGGAACCAGCATGAATCAAAGCCAATTCATCCTGCTGCTGATATGTAGAAAAAGAATTCTTTAAAAATGCGGTATCCCCGAAGGGGAGCATGTCCTGGATCACAGAGGACAGCTGTACAAAACCTGCCTGCCATCCACAGCCACCCCGCAGCTTCTGCTCAGGGCAGAGAGGTTCTGGCCCCAGGCAGGAGGCTCAGGAGGGAGGACTGCTCCGCTGTAACCAGAAGGGGGCAGCATTCAGTGGCACAGGGGCTCAGCCCTTTGCACCAGGTAACCTGAGCTGGTTCTCACTGATGGATGCAGGCTTGGAGAAGCCGCACCCTGAGCTGTGAGAGGTCCGTGTAAGGCACCAGCCACCAGTGCTGAGAGCAATCCCCGCCCCTGTGGAGATGGAGAGGTCTCACAGGACCATAAGTTGTAAAGCTTGGACTGAGTTCATAAAGAAGGCTGGGCCGATGAGAAGACCTCCCCCCATACCTGGCTGGCTCTCCAGTGTGGCCGCCCCTGACAAAGCCCATGTCACTCCTACCTCCATCGGCATGCCCTTCACCCTACCTCAGCTTCTCTCCACACACCCCACATCGGCACCCTGCCCCTCAGGACTCACCCATGACTCTGCATGACCTGCTTCTGTGAAACCTGCTTTTCTTCTAGTATGTTCACATTTACTTATGTACATGACTAGGTTTAACAGCAAACTACACATTAACATTATAAGAGATTGAAATTAGACTTTGCAAATATATTCCACCTTTATTTTGTGGGTGTAGACCACCAGGATCCTGAGGGTCCCTGGATGGGACACAGTCACCCCACTGACAAGCCAGGGAAAGAGAGGGCTCTGCGCTGCAACCCAGCTGCAGAAAGCCAGAGAATGTGTTACTAAGTTCTTGAAAGAAGAACAGAACTGCCCGTTTTGAAGGTTGCAGAGCTTGGTATAAAAGGACCTGGGCAACGGGTCCCCACGGAGCACGGGTTGTCCACCTCAGGGCTTTAATCCCGCCGCGTTCACTTCCAGTGCGTTTTTGTGGTGGAGTTTTAGTGGTGCTTCCAACGAGCCCTTCAAGTGCACCAGGCCGGTGAGGAAAGAGCCTGGGTCTGAGCCTGGGTGGCGGGAGCGGGAGAGGCGGGCCCCACCGGCACCTCCAGTCTGCTCACGCAGCCTCTGTAACCCCGGCTCCCGAAACAGCCCCTGCTCCTGCTCTCAATCCCTGCTGGGAGCAGGTACCCAGACAGAGAGAGGCTCTGGCCGCCCTAGGCGTGGGAACCACTGGCTTCTTGCCATTGCCAATTTCTGGGGGTCTCGCTCACCACTCCCTCCTCTTTTGCTGTTTTATCTCCTGGGTAACAAATTCTCAGCATGAAATTCCCTCTCCTATGCTGTGCATTTTGTTTCCAAGACTAACCCGGGTGGAGCGAGGGAGTTCCACACAGGGGCCGCAAGCTCAGGCGCAGAAGCCCTTGGGCGGCGGAGAAAGCGGAGTGCACAGAGTCTGTCGGTCTGAGCGCTCAGCGGCCCTGTTGTTCTTCCAAGTAGATCAGCTGTCTTAAGCAAACCACGAGTGGGAAAAACCCTGCGGCCGTGCCTGTTTTACCTGTCTGTTCGGTGCATGACGAAACCCGTTAGTTAAGAAACCAGGAAGCTTACACTGGCCTGTCGCTTGCTCCCTGCCCCAGGCTGGCACCCTCCAGAGGCGCGGGATAAGGGCGACTCGGCCCCCGCAGCAAACAGTATTTTGAAAAGGAGATGAAGAACAACTTGTGAAATACTTTAGGCTGATTTATACTTTGCAAACCTTACTCTTGAGTTTGAGAATTTTTAGAACATACTTTGAGTAAATGAGCAAGTCCCATTTTATATGATGTGTAAAATCTCGATATTCTCTATTAAGAATAATCACTGTCATCCACTGTCTTTTGGAAGCCATGACTGAATAACGGAGGAGTTGTTACCTTATCCCAGAAAGCAGTGAAATCTTGCACGTCCACTATCGTTTTGCCATCTGTTGGCTCCTGAAGGCTGTGCTGTGATATCTCTTCAAGTAACAGGAAGTTCTAAAGAAAAAGGAAAACCCAACTGTTTAAAATACAGAAACAAAAGCAAAACGAAAATCACTGCTTCTGTGAAATTTGCGGTGTAAGGCCCTGTACAGCCTACAGATCACTTCACCTGCAGTACTGAAAGCGTTGTCTCTGGGCTGCGGTGTTAGCGCAGTGGCAGAGCACTGTCTAACGTGGGCTCGATCCCCACCACACAAAAGAAAGGCAGGCAGTGAGGGTTGACTTACATCAGAACATGCGATACACCAACAGAGTTCTATAGAAAGACGGAAAGTTCACAGCCGTGAGGGAACTATCTGCAACTTTCTCAACAAGTACACTGATTCTTCCGTAGAGGGAAAATACGGCCCCAAGTTGAACACACATAGAGCCTGTACACTTTTACTGTTTTGCTTTCGTGTAACAGTGAATGGAGGAGACACCAGAAAGTGATGCAATAAACATTTACTAAATCCTCCTATGTACCAAACATCGTGCCAGAGGCCAGAAGCAAGAAGATGAAGGCCGTTCCTTGGCCTGCAGGATTCGACCTGGACCAGCAGTCAGGAGGGAGCACAAGGCCAATGGTAGAGGTGGAAGGTCAGCCAGGGCCCTAACCTCCGTCTGCCCAGTCCTCTGGCTGGGCACTCAGGTTCATTCGGTTCTCCTCACTTGCTGAGTATCAAATCCACCTATCACAAGTTGTTGCTATCGATAAATCATCATTCAAAGAAACATGCTCTTATTTGATTAAGTTTCAACCTTTTTTTTTTTTCTTTGGTACCAGGAATCGAACCCAGGGCCTTTGGCTTGCCAGGGAGGTGCTTGTGCTACTGAGCTATATCCCCAGCCCCTAAGTTTCAATCTCTTAAAAAATACCTTCTAAGCATCTTTTCACAAGCACTTGTTCTTTCTCCTTAGTCACGAGCTCCTTGACAGCACAATGATCATATCTTCCACTACCTGTTATTTTCTACACTAGTTAGCAGCCATTTGATGCAACTTAACATAAAATGAAGTCTTGCTAATCATTACAATCTGTCATAGTGATAATAGGAAAAACGCTCTCTTGCTGCTCAAAAATGCTAGATATAATTCAATTAGAAAAAAACAGAAATTAAGTAACCCACCATCCTTTACACCCCAGAGTTTGAATGTGTAGCAGAAACTGCTGGCTGTCCTCAAAATCTCCTCAGTCTCCTACGGTAACAAAACCTCAAACTTTGGCTGGCAGAGGACAGTCTGGAATGAGGACCACTTTTCCTGGCCTCCTGGCAGCTAGCTAGTGGAGCCAAGATGAAGCCCATGGGAAGTGACAGTACTCCAACCGACTGTCTGGGCCTTGGAAGCTGCCATCTTGGTCAAGGCGATGAACCGTGAGTAGTAAGAGCCCCTAGGACTGCACAGCCTAAAACACCGAAGGGGTGAACTGTGAACACACACCCTTGTCCCTAGCTATGGTGTGAATGCACCCCTTCCAAAACTCGGGTGTAGAAACTTAGTGGCCAATGTAGTCATAGTAAGAGGTGCACCTTGAGGTGTGCACGCAGCTCAGTGATAGGGCACTTGTGTGGCATGTGGGAGACCCTGGGCACCAGACTGGTACTGCAAAAATTTTTTTTAAAGACATGGGGTTTTTAAGAGGTGATTCCACCACAATAAGGGTTCCCCCACAGTGAATGGGATCACTGCTCTTGTTCTGCCTCCCACCACATGAGGGCACACGTCCCTCCCCTCCAAGGAGTACAGGAGCAAGACCTTAACTTGAGAGCAGAGATCAGCCCTCATTAGCCCATCCAGCCTACTAGCCCTTAGCCATGGACTTCCCAGCCACTGGAACTGTGAAAAATAAAATTCTGTTCTTTGTAAATACCCAGTCTGTGATGTTTTGTTATGAGGTCACAAACAGACCAAGCGCCGCCCCCCACCCCCAAAAGAAAGATATGCTCAAGTCCTTACCCCAGGACCTTGAAATGCATCTTTATTTTGAAACCGGCTCTTTTTAATATGAGCTCAAACTGGAGGACAGGGCCTCTAAATCCAACACAGCTGGCCTCCTTGTAAGAAGAGAGGGACATACAGGCAGAAACAAGCCGTGTGACCGTGGGACAAAGACTGGAATAAGGAAGCCACGACAGCTGGCAGCCACTGCAAGCTGGATGAGGGGAGGAAGATTCGCCCCTGCAGGCTTCAAAAGGTGTGTGGCCCTGCTGACACTTAGGGTTCACACTCCCAGCCTCTAGAACTGTGAGGGGATAAATTTCTGTTGCTTTAAGTCATACGGTCTGTGGTTCTTCACTGCAGTGGCCCTAGCAATCTTACCTGGACCCTACAGGGGCTTTCCCAGGACAGAAATACAAGTTATATGTGAAGCTGCCTCTAAGCCAGGTATTCTACAACCCACAGGCAGATCTAACCCACCCAGCAAGGGCGGACCTGGAATAAGCATGCGAACATGTCTGAAAGAGGAAGCAACACTTACATTCATCTACTACTCTAAAAACTACTCTTGGAAGTCCTCAAAATTCTTGTCGATCACTTACTAGTGTAACTGTAACCGTCTACTTCAAAAGACCAAGTGGAAAGCACTGCAAATGAGAATGTCCTTTTGGAGGAAAATACACCTGCCGTGCATCTTCTCAACGCTCCCAGGAACACGAGACACGGTCTGTTCACTCACTCCCCCACTTAACTGGCTACCAGCCTTATTCCTTAAAATGGAACACTGCCATTTCTACCTGCAAAAGCCCTGTCCAGCACAGAGGCAGAAGGACAAACGCTCCCCTCCGGGCTGAAACGCGCCTCTGACTTCTCTCTGCAGACCTCTCCCCTAGCTGCGCAGGTGCCAATCCCTGCTTATTCTGCCACGATTCCCATCTCTCCCCAAGTCTCCATCCCTATTGAAAGAATCCACTTGGTCATCAATCGTTTCAATGCTAGTACAGTGTCGTCACTGGTCTCTCTATACCCTTGTCTGGCACTCCCAATACTACCAAACAACTCCAAGCAGCACCCCTAAGGTTCTTCTTGAAATACCTCATAATGAACACTACTCAGAATCCTTCACACGCACCCCCACTACCTCCACCCGTGCTCCCAGAGCAGCCTCTGCTTTTACAGCCTGAGTATAGTTCCCACCTCAGCACGCAGGGTCCATCTCAGCCCTGCTCTTGCTGGGAAGCTGCTCAGGGTTGCCCTTCCAATTAAGTTATGCAGAGGGTCGAGAAGCCTCATTCACGCACTTACAGACCATGCCTCACACAGACAGGTGCTACCCGAATACACAGACCCCATGTTTGGCTTTAATTATTCAAGCCATCAACTAAATCACTAGAGCTTACACAGTGAAAGATAACAAAGGTTGTGTATGTTATAAATCCTGTCCAGACAGAATAAAATCGTCATCTCAGCTTACACATATTACCAAGACACAAAACTCAGCTTTCAGTGTGCGCCTGTTAGAATAAAAACTTTCTTCCTTACATTTGGTAATCTGAGCAACTTCACTGAAGATAACAATACGTAATATAACAACCACTGTTAATCCCTATCATTTGGTTTGAAATCCCATATCATTTTTAATGTCCTGGTTTTGTTTTGTTTATATTTGGTGTTGGGTTTTTTTGTACTATTTTCTTTGAAAGAAAAAATTAAAAGAAAAAAAAAAAAGGCAAAGGAAGAGCTATGCACAAGGCGAGGAAGGAAATGTCCTCAGCGTTTGCCCATAAACATTAGGTCTGAGGGAGAAAGAGGCTATAATTTCCCAGTGGCTCAATGAAGCTCCATTCAACACGCAAACAGCTTCCGAAGGCCCAGGGTGCTCCAGGACTTGGGCTGATGAAAGAGTTGAAATTAAACTGCTATGACAGCAGTGAAGTGTGCTTCCCACGACAGTCCTGCAGAGAGGCACCAGACGTCAGAACTCAGCCAAAAAGTCTGACCTCCGAGTGGCTGGCAGGCAGAAACTCAGGGAGCTTTGCGAGCAGTGTGAGCTCAGAGACACTCAGCTGCACCCCGACGTCACCAGAGACTTGCAGAGCCCTGATGTTCAGATAAGATCTCTTATAATCCTATTGGACTTGCCCAAGGCCAAGGCCATCAGTCCTGTTCTTACTAAGAAAAAACAGAAGAAACTCCTTGGGCTTATTTTCCATTTATGGAAAAGAGGGAATTAAAAAGAATGTGTAGGGCTAGAAGCACAGCTCAGTGGTAGAGCACTTGCCTGGCATGCATAAGGCTCTGGGTTCAATCCCCAGCACAAAGGAAGGGAGGGCAGGGCAGGGCAGGGCAGGGGAGGGCAGGGCAGGGCAGGGCAGGGCAGGGCAGGGCAGGGCAGGGCAGGGCAGGGAAGGGAAGATGTGAAAAGGGAGCCACTACACTATAAAGCCCACAGCTAGGTTGGACTATGGGTAAAAATCTTAAGTTCCATCTCAAGGGTGGAAAGATGTGCTGGATTCTTTCCTTAGGGACCCCAAAATGATCTGCTAAAAATCGTGCACAATGGTCCAATTTACTGAGTCCTGGGCTACAAAGGATTATGTTGCAGCAAGAAATCTGGAACATCCTGTTTTCCAGACTCCGTGACAACCAGGGCTCCAGTCTATCTCTGCTCAAACCTCACCTAGTTCTGTGCACCTGCTCAGCGTCCGCGCCTTCAAACTTCTCACTCACACACCTAAGTGAGAGGAAGGCAGGGAGCAGCAGGCCAGCTCACTGCATCACTGCCTGATGTCTCAGCTTGGGAGCAGGAAAGGAGGCTGAATCCGGCAGACTGCCCAGGCAGGTGTCTCACAGCCAGTACCCAGAAACTCCAGAAGCATCTCAGACTTCAAAACCATAGTCATCCCCACGTCTGGTCTCCCAGCACTCCACAGACCCGTGATCCAGGAGATGTGCAGCCCAAACCACCAAAGCAGCCCTTGAGTCCCCCAAGTAACCTCTCCACTCGCCTGCCACAAAGCCCACCCAAGGCCTGCTCCAGAGCAGCTCTCGAATGCACCCTGTCTCCACTTAGC